TGTGTATTTTGTACTGCAGCGTAAACTAACATACTTAAGCTAACCTGTAATCACCAATTTTAAGCAAACTTTTACACATTTGTTCTCCTTTGTCAGTGACTTCAATATTAAAGCAGAAAGGGTGTAAAGTGGATTTAATGAAATAAATATTTGTGCTAATATCAGCTAAAAAAAGGTGTGATGTGTTTATTGTCACATTTAGCTTGTTGGAGCAATAAGGTAAGAAGAAAGTAGTTTAGTGGGATCAGTTTGTTGGAAACCGTGGTCCTATTAATCCCAGCAACGGCCGTCTCTGTAGCCATCGTCGCCTTCTTCTATGCTATCGTTTGTAGTCCCGCCATCTCACTCTTTCTTTTTCTCCTCTCGGTCTCATTTCCTTCCTTCCTCCCTCTTCATGGTTCACCTCCCTCTCCTGTCACGCCCGGCTCGCCTCGATCGGCCTCCTGATCCCCACATAACCCTGTGCAGATACCTCTTTACGCCTCACCCCTCCTGTGGTTTCCTCTAAGTGAGAGAAGGTGAAATCAAGTGAAGTGCTTTTGCCCTGATAATATATTGAACCACTCCCTCTGTATCTTCAGAGGGGCAGCTAATGAGAGAAAGGAAGTTTGCTCTCTCTCTCTGTAATGTGTTGTTGATTGTTTTGTCTAGAAGCGTCATGAATTTACCCTCTGTTACCCCCTGTGAATAGATGGTGGAATCCAGGCCACAATGCTCGCTGACCTTCTCTGTTTGGCATGAGATGCCTGGATGTTTGTACATTAAGAGGTTTCCTTTGTCTCTGTGGACATTCTTTATTTTTAGCACAGGACAGCGTGAATAGATCTGGCTTAATCAGCGAAAACCGCCCATGTGTGAAATGAAATTTTATTTCTCTTTTAATGGAACCCACAAGGGTGGGTGTGTTTCTTAATGTGGCCATCCGTTCAACCGCTGCCACATGTAACGGCAAAGAAGCTGTGGTTCCATTATATAAAGATTCATTTTACCTGATATCTGAATCAACTCTTTTTGGCTGATCCATAACACTTTTGCAAAAAAATATGTTGTTTTTTTGGTCAAACGTTGGAATAAAGTGCAGATCTGCTAAAACAATTGATTATGATGCAGTTTTATATTCCAAATCTTGTCAGCTGCAAAGCTGCTAAACCCCAACTACTGACCATTGAGTCGGTAACCACAAGGGGTCTGTTTCTAGAAGCAGGTTTAACAAATTCAGATTCAAATCAGCAACTCTAAGCATATTTATTTGTTATATTTATTTTGGTCACTTTTCTGGTCACTTTAGTTTATTCATTGTCAGTATTTAATAACATAACTCAGGTCTCTTAAGTTATTTTTCTTAAAAACAATTCTGTTGTGGTTAAAAAAGTTGGTTAATTAAAGATTTAATTGGAAGTCTGTGTTTGTGTTCTTTATTCAAATTAAATCATTTAGCATTATCATAAAATGTCCAGGCAGAGCTGCACATAAAATATGGTTTCAAATCTTTTCAATAATTATCAATAACGATCAATATAAATTTTTTTTTTTATCAATGAGGTTTTTTTCTATATCGTTCAGCCCTAATATAAAGTGGACTATGGCAGAACGTTTTTACATTTATTAAAAGCACGCCTCTCTCTGTTGTTCCATTTCTAGCTCACTAAAATAAGATTCTTCCTGTTCAAAATCCCACTCCTAGACCGATCTGTAATTATATATTTTCTAAATTACATTTTTGTAGCAGAAACTGAATTTTAGAAAGTAAAAAAAAACAAAACAAATCATACTAGTAAGAATTAAGTTTTATATATCAAGAAATGTTTACACATTTTAAGTGGCCATTCTGACATTTATCAGCTTGACTGAAAATGTATTAATGATATATGAAATACATTTTATCATAGTTAAAATAATACAAATTGTGACCAGTAATATTAGGTATATGGAGATCTGAAATAAATTTCTAGACATCCAGAATGTCATTTTGTTTGAAATGGTCATTTAAAGAAAAAAATGTTTTTTCAGATAACAGGAATACATACTCACTAAAATTAGTACATATCAAAACAGCCTGCCATAAGTGTTGTTACTGTGAAAATATTGCGGGATTATTTCTTGAATGGTAGTAGATGGATGTATCTATTTAAGTGAAATCTTCTGGCAGCAGATGAGGATGAAGAATAAAAACATTGTTCTAATATATAGAACATGTGGATCATCTCATGTATCCCTCCTCATGTTGGTTCAGTCTTCTATCACACAGTTAATACTAGGTGGCTGACCGTTTGCAGCCGTGCTTCGGATGTGATCATCCTAATAAATAGCCGTTATAAGTGGCAATTAGGCCCATAGAATGCCTTCGGATTGTGCAAGTAGGCTCATTAGGTTGTTATCATCGAGTTAATCCTAACCCTAAAGTAGTTTTCCCTCATGGAATTAATGAATCTTTTTATGTGTAATCTGAAAATAATTTCAGTACATCTTCATGTATTGTAAATATAACTAAATAAAAATAAAATGATCCGCATCTCCCTCGTATTAAACAAACCAAAAACAGGTACCGGTAATCTTATGCCCTGTCAACTCAGAATCCTCTCCCTATAAATATTTAATTCACTGCGAAAAAGTGCCGATCATTCTTTAATAAGAATAATCCTCATCAAGCGGATTTGCAAGGTTTGTTTTCAAACCCTAATACGTGTAACAGACCTAGTGAAATATATATATATATATATGGTTACGTTTTATATATATATATATATATATATATATATATATATATATATGTTTTATATATATATATATGTTTTTATGCACTCAACTATGACAAAAATAAGACTAAATCAGGAAATAAGACAGCGTGATTAGCTGTAAGGAGAGCGGAGACAGTGGAGACTCTGAGTTTATGGAAGAAAACCTGCTGCCGACCAGGTTAGCTCTGGGGAGAATGTTACTATGGTGACTGAAACAAAGGTTAAGGAAATTCTCTTTGTGAACCGGAAAAGTCAGAGTTTCCCTGTTTTCAGGCTTAGACACCTTAGGGCAGTTTTTTTGGTAAACCTGCTTCATGAATCAGACCCCACAACATAACTGTAGTAACCAAATAGGAGGAGAAATATATTACTTTTTGAAAAGTTGCTAAATTCAAGAACAAAACCCCTTATTAGAGTCATTTATTAAGACTATCTGCCACAAACAAGCAGAACTTAAGTTTCCAGATCATAAATATTATTACATTGGCAGCAAAACACCAGGAATTTGTATCATTTTCCTTACTGTTCTTGAGCTGTGAAATGTTGATGTGGATTTCAGTTATCCTAGAGTTTCCTAATAGATTTGACTGCCAGCAGAGTTCAACTTAACCCGGGCTTACGCTGTGCGATTTTTTTTTTGTTGCCCTTTTTGGGCAGATTCTCTAGTCGTGTGAGAATTTTCCGATCGGACCGACTTTCAGCCTGATCATGCATCATGTGTCGTGTAGTGTACAGGGGGTAACGAGGGGCGATCAGCCTCCCACGACCACCTCCCGATCAGGAATCAAACCTTTGATTTTCTTCTGACCGTCAAGGGCAAAACGTTCAGTGGGCAAACAAGGATTCTTCTTTTTCTTCCTCTCAGAAGAAAACACAGAAGCATGGCAGGGCAATGAGTGAAATTGAGTTCTTTCTGTAAAATTGACAGTAGTAGCCATGTTTGCTCTGCCATGTCTTTGTCCAAATACGTCGCCGCCTTTTCTTTTTAGGGCATTCAGCACAAAATTGCACAAATTACAAAAGCAGTGCATCTAGTAAGCTTCATATTTCTCTTCTACTCATTCGGCTTCCGGATAGACGAGTCAGAGCAGGTCCATCTCACTGCGGAGCTGAGTCCCACGTGGTTTTTAGACGTTCAGTGTGAGCAGGTAGATTGCATCAAAGCAGGACTAACTGAGACAGTGCTGCCCCTTTGCCTCACATATACAACCCCTGACGATAATTATGGAATCACTCGCAGGATGTTCATTCAGTTGTTTGATTTTGTAGAATTTTTTAAAAATGAAAATGTGGCAGAACTAAAAAAAATGTTAAGGCAACAACCTTCAGTAAAAGTTTAAGTTTAGGACGTCAACATAACCATTTAAATTTTGCTTTTGCCTAACCTTTAATTTGAGGTTGTTGCACATTGGAAACTAGACTTTTTCTCAGTTATGTAAAAAAATCTTACATTTCTTGCTTTTGAATTTACTTTTCATTCAGCAGCTTTTTACTGTATTGCACAAACTTATTGGTTTTCTTTAACGAAACCCTTCATTTTTTCATGGCTTCTATGGGGGTTGAACCCACTACCTTAGAGGTCCCACCAAAAAGCTAATTCCCTTCTCATTTACCAATAAGCCCCTCCCTTAGTGGTTGCAAAGCCTGACAACTGTTAAACTATCATAAGTTGTTGTTCAGCAGCATATTGTTAGCAATAATTTTATTGTTAAAAGTGAACATGATGATGACAAAGACTCTTTAGCTCAAAAGAGAGATGATTTTCCCACATTTCACAAGAAAAGCACAAAGTTAGCAGAACCTTCACATGTCAAACTTAACCTACAATTTTAAGGTATAAGTAGACTACTGACAACCGGATATTTTTTTCTTTAAATAATAGAAACATATCCTTTTAACAGAATCTTTTCAATAAGATATTAAAAAGAAAAAACAGCTGACAACAGCTTTTTATGCTTCTGATTTATACAACCCTCAATCCCAACAGGAACAGGTGGAATTAAAAGAATGATGAAATGTGAATTAATATAGATCATTGAATCATAATGTGCTGATAAAACATTAAGGTGGCATACCGTCTTCTAACTCTAGATCATTTTGCATGCAGTAATGAAGTAAAAACCCTCCGGCTTCATCTCTTAATGACATTATAATCCTAAATCTGCAATGAAACTCTAATCATATGTTTTTCTGCCTGCTGGGAGACGAAGAAGCGCGTAATCTCTCAGCTGACAATGTCTTTGTTTTCTTTACTCTCTTCAGGTCAAAGTGACGCAGGAGCTGAAAAACACTCACGCCGAGCAGATGACAAGGCTGCACTTTAAACATCAGACTGAATGTGATCTGCTGGAAGACATGAGGTATGACGGATCTCTGCTTTGCATGATTGGCTCCGACGGGATCCTTTTCCGATTCATTGTGACAAAGTATGAAAAAGGAAAACCTCAAGCCAAATGGCAGATGTTTTCAAATCTTTTCATTGCCGGTGGATGCGATTATGCCCGGCACAGATATGCGTGCACAGAAACGGTAGCGAACAAAAGGAAGGGGGAAAGGGAACTGCTAAGGAATTAGAGAGGCGACATGACAAAGAAATAGATAAGAAGGAAGAGGTATTGTATTTATGAAGCATGAAGATGATGAGGGCATTGCGTATCATTATTTTATAGATCTCACTATTTTTTTATGTTCCTGGTGTCATTTTCCAGTCTATCTTTCTCTCTGTTTCTTCATGACCCATGTGAGTTGCCAGTTTTCCCATATGGATTCAACACTGGGATAAGGCATCACTTCCCTTTCTCAGTTTCATTCACTCTGTTGGCTAAACGTTGATTATTTATGACAGCGGAAAAAAAACAAAAAACGCTTTCTGCCCTTCTGCTCCCGTTCCTGTCCTGTGCTCTGTTTCTCATTCTCAGCCTTGTTTCCACTCGTCCCTCCGTCCCGGTGCTCTCTGGAGGGCAGCTCCAGCTGTTTGTGACCAGACTGGCCTGTTGCTGTAGGGGTTCTGGAGAGTGAACATAGCTCAGGTCTCACTTGTGGGAAATCGTGAGAGCCAGTTGAACACATGCATTCAAACTGTGTTCAGTACATGAGAGATGAAACCGCATGCCATTGGCAAAAAACATCCCCAAATTATTCCTGTCATCCTTATCGGTGGAAATAAAAGGCTGCCTGCAGGGTTTTCTCAATATGTTACCTAAGCTTTTATTGTTTTGTAATTATTTGTGATAAAACATTGTAATGGCTGGGGCCCAGGCCCCTGCTGTGACTCGCATCTGTTGGCTGTTTGTTTCCTTAAGCAAGACATTATGACTCTTTATGCAACCCAGCTGACCCCAAATTACATTGATGCAATTTGATGCATTGTCTTGGTGCAGCAGGACAGCATGGCTCAGTGGAGATTTGATGTGTTAGGCCAGAGAAACTTTGTAAGGTGATACTTTTCATTTATTTGGAGTGAAAAGCGTGGAGAGTGTTTGTTTTCAGCCTCCTGAGTCAATCCTCTGCCTTGCCGCAGCTGAAAAGTATTTTTAGGACCAATTTAGATGCTACAGTGTTTGCCAGTTTTTCTTTATAAACATCTAAGCTCAGTTAGATTAGATATACAGGATGTTTAAATCTTGTTTATTAGGTCTTGGCACAGATTCTTCCAGATTATTGGTAGTTAAATCATTTGCAGCCTCCAAACGGTTTTCTTTGAGGATTTGTTTGTATTAAACTGCATCCATCGTCACTTTGGGTGCCAGTTTCTGAAGGAAACTTGATGCACTGGATTTTAATTGCACTTAAACATGTTATTAGTAAAAGTAATTTCAGCATCATGCATCCTTTTCCTTGCAACAATCTAGTATATCAGTTTTAACATATAAAATGTCTTTTTTTCGATTGTATGAACAGTTTTGTTTTTATAATAATTGTGCGTTGGAAAAAAAAAGGCTCATAAATTGCTTTAAATCTGGAAAATAATCAACCCGCTAAAGAATAGAGGCCTGACCTCCAGTATCTTTGAAAGGATTAAAGCCTGCAGCAATGCACAGGAAGTCTGGCCTCATGGGACATTTTTCAAAGTTGAAAAGTGCATATTTTTCTTGATGAAGAACACATTAAATGTGGCGCCTTAATCCCAAAAGCTGCTCAGAGTTTTTTTTTTTTTTTCAGAGGTTATTTACTCTACTCAGAAACTAGGGAAGTTGAATAAAAGCACTCGTTGCATTTGCGTTTTCAGTTGTTTTTAGTTTTTTTGTGCCTGAATTCTGTGCAGAAATAGCTGTGCAAGTTCGAAAGAAAGAGGGGCGAGGAAGGGGGGTTTACAGTATTTGATCTTAAGGGAAGAGAAAATGATGAGTAGCCGGTGGGCTCAGAGAGTCAACTTGATGTCCTCAATCCAGCTAAATCCCCCCATTCCCTAATATCTGGCTCAACAGAGATGCACGCATCACCCACTGCTGCTGACTGGTAAAATCCTCTCACATAGAAAACGCCTGTGGTCGTATTCCTTTTATTTCGGTAATATTGTGAGCTATACTGGGTTCCTGCAGATTCAAGGTGTTTTCTTTTTGGATGGCTTGATTACGCCTCTGTGTCTTTACCTCTTCAAAGTGTTTTCATCTATAAAAATAATTACCTTAAAATCAACCAAATTAAAAGTGACAGTTTAAGCTGTTGGCTTGGGATCTTTATGCGACATACTTGTTTTTGTGGCTCTCCTTTGCAGAATGATATCTGATACCGTGCATTCATCCAGATTTATAGTAACTCCTGGGAATTATCTGTGCATATCATTAAAACATAATGGCTCTCACTGCTTAATAGGCAGATGAAGCTCACCAGTTTGAACCAGTGATGCTCTTAGAGTCCTGATGAGTGCTCATAGCTGCTCCTTTCCATAATTTAACAGCACAGGAAAGTTAAAATCAAACCCTTAGATTATTATGAAACTGTCCTTCTGGCTGGTAAAAGTAATAGGGTATGAATGTTTCAGTATTCCACAAAATTATACAGCAAAAAAAAAAAAGACAACTGGTAAGTAATAAAGTGCTATTAATCCTAATCAACATGAACACAGCCACACTGTTCGCCTTTGACTTGAGTCCCAGTGAGAGCACTGATTGAATATGTTTGGTTTGGTTCTCAGCAGCTTAGGAAGGTGTGAGTGTCGTTGATCATCAGCTCAAAGTGTTATCCTTAAATTGATTAAGTGCCAGATCCTTGAATATTGCTTTATGAATGACCAAGGACTCCCTGCGTCTACTGAGATCTGTGTAACGGGCTGTGTTTCAGCCGCTGTGACTGATTGGAGCAATAAGTCTCTGTGATGCTCTTCTCCTTCGCTTAAACAGAGCTGTTGAACTGGTAACTTATCCTTTACCTTTTTTGCTGCATTTTTCTGACCGTCATGACTCTGTTTTTAAAAAGTGGGATAAATGTTGGGCTGAAACAATTAATCGGATTAATCCTGATTAATTGATTCTTGAAATAATCGTCAACCAATATAGAAAGTAAATCAGGTTTATTTATATAAAACCCTTATCAGACAAGCGTCACAATTTGCTGTATAATATGAGGTGTAAAATACAAAGCAGCACCATATAAAATACATATAGGCAAATAAATACAATCATAACATATTGACCTCAGATTGGAGAATTTTACCTCTGCATTTAACCCATTCCAGTGTGCTGCCATTGTGTGGCGCCCCGGGGAGCAGTGTGGGGTTAAGGGCCTTGCTCAGGGACCTAGAGTGGCAGTCTGTGGGAGTGGGGCTTGAACTCAGAGTTCCAAGCTCTATGCCCTAACCTCTAGGCCGCCTCTCCCCCTGGAGACTCTGAAATGTGTAACCCACCTTTAAACCCAATTATATCAAAATTATATAAAAAAAAAAAGAATTAAAATTTTACATTTATGACCAAAAAAACTTTTTTGTCTGTATATATGCTCTATCCATAATTCCTTAAGTGGAAAAGTTTTAGTTTTGCTTGGATTAATTTCTTAGAAAAAAAAAATTGTCTTCTTTAAGGAACCTTTCCTATCTGATCATTAATCGAAAAAATAATCGACGGATCAATCGATTTGCAAAATAATCTTAGTTGCATCCTTGGATAAGTCAGAACTTTGAACAAGTTTGAGGGGGAAAAATCCTTTTAAGATTTTAGTTCTCAGTCTCTGGCATTTTTAAGATGAAATCAGAAATCATTTAATGCCGAAACCTGTAGATGTTGGAGATGAAATGTTCATCACTCTCCATGCGATTGGTTGTATTTTTGATGCAGATTCATCGATTATTGAGCATCACCGTTTCTCACGCATCGCTCATGAAACAACGATGACAAGTTCTTTTTGCAGCACTTCATTTTTATGCAAAGGGAAAACTGCTAATTGATGTAATTTATGGTTAAACAGCTACTGATATACCCGTTTTTAAGAGATTGTGAGACTTCCATGTAATAATGACAGCATTTGTATTTAACTTTATAAGATTCCCTTGTTTGAACATTCTTCATAGAGATGTTAACATTGTTCTTGCTTTTAAATGAGCTGTAATTTTAGACTCCCTGTACTTCTATAGTGCTCTTTGAAGACCCCTAAGTGCTTCCAGTCATTCACTCTTCTGTTCACATGCTGATGGTTGTAAGCTGCACTGCAGCTACAGTTAGCACGCCAGCAGCAGGAGAGGACATAAGTCAGAGCAGAGGTTTGAGCCGGCAGCCCCGGGTTACAGGATGAAATCGTACTCCCTGAGCCTTCCGGCCTGCATGTTAAGACAAACAGGCACAGTATTGATCGGTCCAACATGGGTTTAATGTCTAAGTGTAGCCCTAACCTTACTAGGGACAGGCCTTGCTAAAGTGTTCAGAAATGGGCAGATCATTAGGGGAGAGTTGTCCTAGTGGTTTGAGCAATGCGCTTGTGCTCTGAGAAGGTTACAAGTACCCGGTTCAATCCCCACAGCTTGCAATATGCGTCCCTGAGCAAGATCCCTGGGTGCTGCACAATGGCAGCCCACTGCTCCCCAAAGGAAGAGAAGCATAGCCTTTCACCAATCCCATGAGCCAATGTTTAAGGGTCATGAAATAGATCATTGTTAATTTTTAGTATCTGACTGTTTTCGTACCATCACACTGATGCCTTTTTATTCTGTTCTTCCTACAGTTTACCTGGTTTTCAAGTTAGGAGAAAACCTTTAGTGTAATCAGCAAAATGTCTGCAGAATCTGAAAGAATCTCCTCCTTTATGTCTTGTGGTGATCATGCAGTGTGAAAACATAACAACCCTCCTCTTTCTCTCTTTCAGTCTGACTCATGCAGCTGATCTGTTAGTGCAACATTAACCAGAGATTTCAGCCATTCCCTCGTGTTTA